AGAGAGATCGCCGTATCGTGGATTAACGATGATCTTCGCCGTTGGGACACTCGTGGATTTATCCTACTCCCGACACAACTTCGCTCTCTTATTTATTATCATTTCCACTCCCGCGATAACAGAAGTGATCCTTACTTTTGTTATCATCATACATAGATTAATGATTCTTAGATTATTATAGAACAAATATTATTGGAAAATTCGTCAATAATCAGGTATCAATACTCTTATCTAGATAATATGAAAAACATTATTCTTTTGTAATTTTGGGAGTTATAACATCGAATTTTGCATTCGACAAAAAAAAACAAGAGAACCTTGACGATTCTATACGATTTATCCGTTAATAAATCAATTAAATGGTTACATCGAGAGAATTTACACAGTTGGCGGCGTATTTGATCGCGTCGAAAGACAATTTCTTCCTTTTTGAGCGAAAGCCATGACAAATATTAAATTTCTTACAGTCGACTGATATTATACATTATATCTGTTTACGAAAGGCTGAGATGAATAGTTCTCTTCCTTTTTCTCTTTCTCTCTTTGCACGTGCATATAACATGTACGCCATTTACAAATTATGATGACTCGTTGAAATCAAACAACAAATTTGATGCGCCAACATGATTCAATTGTTGTTTAATTTTGCGGATTCTTGTTTACACAAAATGAAATATTGAATTATAAACTGCCGCTTCTATAATTATATATTGCGCAATTAGAATAGACATCGGATTTTCAATGTCTAATGTCTCTCTCTCTTTATCCGAGAGTCTATTAACCATTTTTTGAAATCTATAAAACGATAGATGTGTAAAAGTGATAATTTAATCTTATCACTAATTTGTTATAATCGTTATTATTATTTTATAATACATATAATACTTCAGTAATGTATTCTGGAGATCTTTTATTAGAATACAAATAAATAATCAAATCATAACATAAAAACGTAGATTTGAATTTATAGGCAATTAAACTTGATCAATGGTATCACATAGAGTTCGCACATTCATATTTATAACTGCAGTACACGTGTACTAGTCTGTCATCTGTTAGTTTCATAATTTAGGACATATTGATTTTTGTCGCTCAGCTGATTAAGCTGATTCTTTCCTCATGGCAAAATATTTTACTCATTCCACTTTATTTTAAGTATTTCAATAAAGTTGAGATAAATATAGATAAAATAGAGGCTATAAAAATGTAAAGAAAGATTGGCACACAAATAAGAAAAGATATAATATTATATGAGAAATCTTTCATTAGTGTGATTTCATTAGAGATTAGTTGAAATGTGTCAATACTGATAATGTCATAATTATAAAATATTTTCGTTCGTTATAAAATATTTTTATTTAAATTTGGAATTACATATATATTAAAAAAATTCCAAATATTGCTTTTTCTCGCTTGTCAATTTATACAATATTTAATTCTGGAAAAGAGAAATGAGATCAAACGCTGACCTTAAATTCTATTTAAAAATTATTTAAAAAGAAAAAAGAAGAAAATAAAATAATATCCAAATATTAACAAATATTTTCCCCATAGTTGATATCAATTTACTTTTTATTTTACAAATATATAAAAAACCATTTTTTTATCTTCTCTCCGGCCGTTATAAAATATAACATATTTAAATTAAAAACTTTATATTCTAATTTTCAATAATTTGTTCTTTATAATTTTATTATATTTCTATTTTAATATATATATTTCTATTAAATATTTTTTCATCAAACAAAAAAATAAAACCAAAGATTTTTTACAATTACAAAAATATTAAAATTATTTAAATAACGAATATATTTTA